AACAGGCGCTCGCCGATCCAGGCCTGGTCGGCGAGCGCGACACCCTGCCGCCAACCGGTCGGCAGGTTGTCCTCCGGACAGCGCGAGAACAGGAGCTGCGGCTGGGGCTCGGCTGTGATGGTCTCCACCTGCCGGAAAGGTTCATCGTTGAGTACGTGTACACGCGTGCGCGGTGCTCGTATACACAAGGTGACAACAACAATACAGGCCCAGTCATATCTCCATGGCAATACTTACCAGAGCCGCAGGCAGCTGCTGAGCGACCTGTCCGGAGGACGCTGCTCCAGCCGGCGCGGCGGCACTGGGGCCGGCGGCACTGGGGCCGGCGGCGCTGGGGTCGGTGGCACTGGGGCCGGCGGTGCTGGGGCCGCCGGCGCTGGCGGCGCTGGGATCGCCAGCCGACCAGTCAGGCGGAAGCTCCTCATCCGGCCAGACCCGGTCGGACGGCCGGACAGGGGCGGCGCCGACTGCAGCAGCGGACGTCCGGGCCTCGGCCTCCAGCTTGGCCCCCCAGCACGCGCCGCGGCGGCGCAGGGTCCATCCGACGACCACCGTCGATGTAGCGCCGCACGGCGCCGGGCAGCGCTACCCTCTGGAGAGGTCAAAGACATGACTGAGACATGCTCAGCGATCGCCATGATGAAACGGCTAGCAATTGAACCGCCAGAAAACAATGAGCCGTTCGAGCTGTTTACGGCCACTACCGTATTCGACATGTGAGGACGCCTACACACCACTTTTCTATGAAACGACGCTTCGGTACAACGCTATCGCTTACCGGTGGCCGGGATGGTCCCTGGACAGGCTGCGGCGCTGGTGCCGGCTGGCTGGCAGAGGAAGCGGGGGCGGGCGGGGGGGAGTGGCAGGCCTTGCCGGCTGGCTGGCCAACGGGGCAGCACCGCCGGAAGGGGCAGGACGACCAGTCGCACCACCCACGTCCTGAAACAGTGCCGACATTACAATGGGCAGCAATGCCGATCATTTCCCAACACACATGGAACACGCATTGATTGTGAGCACTCATCAACGTCGAGTCAGCTCGACGACAGAATGTGCGCTTGAGCCAGATGCGCGACATGGCACAGCTTACCCGGTGGTAGGAGCAGGTGCACGCGACTGGCCGGTTCAGGGGATCCCGCCGGGCGCCAGAGGTCCTTGGACACGTCTGGATGGCTTGGATAGCCCTTGCCCAGCGGGAACCCCTGCCTGGGTACTGCCCCTTGCCGAGGCGCTCCCCCGCGGCAACGCGAGACAGAATGGCCCGCCACTCCGCATCAGACTTTCCAAGCTTTGGCATCCTGCAACAGCGTCCGACTCCGACTGACCAAGGGGGGAATACTGCCTGCTATAGGGCCCGCGTGGTACACCATGCCCTGCGCCCTCCCCTCCCACCTCGCGACAAACACCATAAACCGCGCGTTCCCTTGGTGGCGACAACCATAAACGTTATTGGCACATGCAGCCATACACCACTGATCCCTTCCCACGAGAAGCACGCGGTCCTCCTTCCAGAACACAACCGCGCCATCGACATCAAGAGATACTCATGTAACACCTACATAATGACATCCTGCAACCAGCTTCTGCCTGTCATTGATTGCACGTCTTGTATTCGGTGATCACATGAAGTCTCGGCCGGATCCCCCCGCCCCCCACATATAAAGGCGAACTGCCGCACGCAACGCCGACAGCGAAACTCGCCCTACGCCCCCCGAGGAGCAGCACCTATCCTCCTCCCAAGCCACCTGCAACAAGATCGGCGTGCGACTCGCCGGCGCCACCGCGTCCCACCCCATCGGCGTGTCTACGGGCTAACGCACTGCCCCCGAGCCGTGACCGTTTCCCTCACTTGGACTGAAACATTGCCCCACTCGGCTTACATGTTGACACTGTCCTGGGGCATGATCTATTGCTACGCACCTTGACCGCATTCACCCGACACTTAGTGGATTTGGAAATGGTATAACACATGGGTTACCCTCTTATCTTGCAGAGAAGTGGCCTGCGCCTCTTATGCCGCGTCGCTTCGAATTGGCGTCTTTTTCATGTTTCCAAGTAACCTTGAACACTCTGAGCAAGACCGTGCGTCCTGGTCTCTGGCGCCTCCAGCTTGGAGATCCGTCGTCACGTTGCAACAATGCTATACAACTTGAGGCGCTGACAGTCCGCCAGGAAGGCCAGCTGTCACGGCGACCGCGACTTCCATCGCAATGCAATCCAGCCTTACCCATCGCAATGCTTACCGGAGCCGCAGGCAGATATGCTGAGGATGCTGTCGGTTTTGCGATGATGATAATGATGTAGGGTACTTGAGGTCAAGACACTGATCTTCACCATGAAACTGAATCTTGAATGGGAGGAAACAGGAACACGTCTCTATCATAATACCCCATGCTACGGTATTGGCATCGGACTCCCCAGCGTGCTGTGGCGCCTTTCCCGACTGCTGCCACATGTTCGGACTGTTTGGGCACCGGAAAGCTGGGAGATATGAACAGCACTGACAGAAAAACTGTTCAAGTAGACAACATTCATGGCGCAAAGCGAGCTCCTGCCACGTGCACGAAGAAAACACGGTTGCCTTCAGTATCGTATGTTGCCTTCGCCGCATCGGTCAACTCGCATGGACGTCTCACATGTGAAAAAAACTACCACAGCCGGACTTGAACCAGCATCCTTCGCCACACCGATCGCGGCTGTTGCGCGATCGCTGATTGGTCGACCGGGCCGCCATCTGTGAGGTGACCAGTGATTGGTTGAAGGGGGAAAAGCTGGATGGTGATTGGTAGATGCCCGGTTCTAAATCGTTCCAAGTTGTTTCATTCGTGTTCCAATTTGTTCTAATTTGTTTCATTTCTGTTTCATATTGACGGAGACCTCACAGCGATGCGATTGGAGGATAAAGTTCCCCGTGCCGGGGGAAAAGATGGAGAAGGGGAGGGGAAAAGAGGCGAGTTTCAGACCGCCGCCGGCAGGCGGCTGGCTGCGTCGGCCGGTAAACGGCGCCGACGCAACGCAGCCGTCAGCCGGCCGACAAGAGGGCGTTTACGTGCCGGGCGCGATGAAGGCGTGAACGATCAGTGCGTACACCAAGTACCAACATTTGCTGATGTAGCAATGACATTGCCATTTAAATGTGCTTCCGTGCGTCATGGCACGCTGGACACTGCAGTGATGTCAACAAAAAGACCAACATTCGACTTCGCCAACTTTATTTTGGGGAAAGTGTTTGGCAGTCATGATAAAACACACAAAAAAACACTACTCTCCGCCTTTACGCGCCGCCTCCGCCCGCCGCTCGGCCAGCCATTCGGCCGCCGACAGCCGCTGCAGGGGGTTGTGCGGGCAGAACCGCTGCCCGCGGAACTGTGTATGACCGGCGTCGGTCATGGGCCGCCCACACACCCTGCAGCGGTAAACATTGCGCCGACGGGGCAGGGGCGGCGGCGGCGCATCACCGGCGGCAGCGGCGGCCGCCGCGGCAGCACCTCGCCGGCGACGCCACTGGGTGGTGCGGGAGACCGGGCGGGGCTGCACCTGCGGCGGCTCACCGATGCCCCCGGCCGCGGCTGGGCCGGGCGCCGCGGCCGCCGGTGCTGGCGCGCTGCCGACGAGCCGCTGGAGGGCGGCTGGGTCGGCAGCGGCGCAATTCTGCACAGGTGTCGTGTTACAGCTGTTTTGACCCACAATTGCCATCCCGTGTTATGGTGTGACATAAACTGTCCAGTGCCGACAAGTTTTCAGTTAGGTACAAACAACGTGAAATTTTGTTGAAAATGGCCATCTCGTACAAAACACGTCAACGGGCACAGAGCATACATCCGCTTTGAACTCGCGCTGAATTTGGTATTGGCTCTCATTCAGACGAAAAAATGTCTGCTTCTGAATTATGATGTTTTTCCAAGAAAGTGGGCGCGGCACAATTTGTGGTCACTTGCATGTTGGTTTCTGAGACTAGCTCCGTTTTGAAAGCAGATTGCACGTGCAGACGATACACAGTGATGGAAAAGCATTCAGTGACGTTGTTGTCAACATCCCATTGAACACAAATCTCGCCGCCGCCACCTTGTTTCGAAAAAGGACAAATTGAGAAACGGATGTTTTTTTGGCTCAGATTAGAGTCAGTAGCAATTTCAGCGCGAGTAGGAAGCGGATGCATGTTCTGTGCCGGCTGACGCGATTTGCACGGGATTGCCATTTCTTAATATAATTTCACGTTGGTTGCAACCAACTGAAAACCTATCGGCATTGGACAGTTCATGTCACACAACACGGGAAGGCACCTGTGCGTCTAAACAGGCGTAACGCAACACCTGTGCAGAATTTGAAAACGGGCGTTCTTTGGGTTGTAAAACGTTCCAAGCTCATATCTCTCGAACAACTGAAAATAAAAGGCTGCTATTGTGCAAACGATGTAAAACGATGTTACCAGTTTTTATCACATTTTTGATAACCGCGTGATGACGAACAAATTTGGGCGTGACACTTTCTTCGAATAAGATGGAAATATTTAAACCCGGTTTTGTTATTGTACAATGAAAGGGCATGGTCCGCTGAGTGTGTATATGAAGCGACAAGTGTTTCTGTGCATGCAAACAGTTTCTACAGCTATTGGAAAATCTGCATCAAGCGTGGCTTGTGAGTGGTTTTTCAAATAACTCAAGAACTATACACGTGTTAAGTTTTTTAAGTTGCACCATTTTGTTTGCTGTGGGATTCCGCGTCTAATGACCTATCATGCAATAGGTTTCCACCACTTGAAACATGCAGCATTCTTGTCGTGCGCAACTTTCCATTGTTTTGTTTCTGAGACCCGCTCCGTTTGAAAGCAGATTGCCCGTGGAAATGATGCACAATGATGGAGAAAACATTCCGTGGCGTTGTTGTCAACATCCATGTGAACACAACTCTTTCCGCGGCCACTTTTTTGCGAATCAGAAAAGGATGTTTTTTCGTCTCAAATGATGGCCAATAGCAAATTCAGCGCGCGTAGGAAGCGGATGCATGTTCTAAGCCGGTTGACGCGTTTTGCACGAGATGGCCATCTTTCAACATGATTTCACGTTGGTGGTACCTAAATAAAAACCTATCAGCACTGGACAGTTTATGTCACACGATAGCGCGGGAAGGCAATTCTGCGTCAAAACAGGTTTAAGACAACACATGTGCAGCATTTGAAAATGGCCGTTTTTGGGTAGTGAAACGTTCCAAGCTCATGTCTCTCGAAACAATGAAAATAGAAGACTGCTTTTTTGCAAATGATGTAAAACTATCTTATCAGTTGTTGACAGCATTTTTGATCACCGGGTATTGAAATAATTTGAGTGTGACCATTATTGGAAAAAAGTGAAATTTTTCGAACGCGATTTTTCCCTTACAGGATGAGAGGGCATGGTCCATTTGTTTTGTGGATGAAGCGGTAAATGTTTCTGTGCATGTAAACAGTTTCTGAAGAACTTGTAAAATCTGCATCAAGCGCGGCTTTTGAGTGTTTTTTATAGAACTCAAACACTATATACGTGTTTATTTTTTAAGTTACACTACCGCGTTCGCTGAGTGTTGCGCGTCTATGGACCTATAATACAATAATTTGGAACACTTGAAACATGCAGCATTCTTCATGCGCGGAAATTTACATGGCTTTGTTTCTGAGACCCGCTCCGTTTGAAAGCAGATTGCCCGTGCAAACCATACACAATGATGGAATTATCATTCAGTGGCGTTGTTGTCAACATGCAAATGAACACAAATCTCGCCGCGGCCACTTTGCTTTCCCAATCAGAAACGGATGCTTTTTTTCGTCTCAAATGATGGCCAATAACAAATTCAGCGCGTGTAGGAAGCGAATGCATGTTCTATGAAAGTTGACGCGTTGTGTATGAGGTGGCAATTTTTCAACATAATTTCACGTTGGTTTTACCTATCTGAAAACCTATCGGCATTGGACAGTTTATGTCACACGATAGCACGGGAAGGCAATTCTGTGTCAACACAGGTGTAACGCAACACCTGTGCACTTTTTGAAAACGGCCGTTTTTGGGGTAGTAAAATGTTTCAAGCTCATATCTGTCGAAGCAATGACAATAGAAGGCTGCAATTTTGCCAAAAGATGTAAAACGATATTAAGAGTTGTTGCCTACACTTATGATCATCGGGTGATGAAGAAAAAAAAATTGGGCATGAAGATTTTTTCGAACAATAAAAATATGCCAAGCGCAGTGTTTTGTTACAGAATGAAAGGGCATGGTTCATTTAGTGTGTGGATGATGCGGCAAGTGTTTCTGTGCATGTAAAGAGTTTCTACAGCACTTGCTAAATTTGCATCAAGCGCGGCATGTGAGTGTTTTTTAAATAACCCCAAAACTATACACTGTTTAATATTTTAAGTTACACCATCGTGTTCGCCGTGCGATTCCGCGTCTAATAACTTATGATAGAATACGTTTCCACCACTTGAAATATGCAGCATTCTTGATGCACGCAAATCTCCACGGTTTTGTTTCTGAGACCCTCTCCGTTTAAAAGCAGCCCGTGCAAACGATACACGATGATGCAACAAATATTCCGTAGCGTTGTTGTCAACAGCCAAGTGAACACAAATCTCCCCTCGGCCACTTTTTTGCGAAAAAAGTTCAAATTCAGAAACGGATGTTTTTTTTTTGTCCCAAATGAGGGCCAATAGCAAATATAGCGCGACTAGCACGCGGATGCATGTTCTGTGCCGGTTGACGCGTTTTGCACGAGATGCCCATTTTTTCAACATAATTTCACGTTGGTTGTACCAGACTGAAAACCTGTCCGCAATGGACAGCTTA